CAAGAAAATTATAAAACGCTACTAAATTCAAAACTAAATATTCTTAGATGCCTCAGTTATTCAAATATGTCTCTAAATAACAAACTAATTATATATTAAAACATAACTCAAACCTATATGGACCTATGGCATTGACATTTGAGGCTTTACCAAGCTTACAATTAAATAACAAGACAACAAAAGTTTCTTAGGGTATTTGCTTCATAATCATCTTAATATGATTTTTAATTATAATCAATCTTAGTATGCTCATTGTTTTTACAATGTAAAATTACTCATAATAATTTACAATTTATGTAGCAAAATGCATATACTAAGTTTTATTAAACATGAGAAATTATTTATAATGTAAGAAAATTCATATCCAAAATTTTACGTAACAGAATGGCTAAAAATTAGGAGATTATGAAAGTTTAATATAAGGCCATTTCAATTAATATCACGAGTTATTACCATAAGAAAATTCCATTAAATTTACTTAATTACATCCAATTTATTTTCAGAGTATACGTTGTTTTTTTTTTTTTTATTATTAATAGTCACACTCTAAACGTGGATATTGAATTTTGAGCTATATAATTAGACAAATCAAGTCTTCATGTATATAGAATAAAGTCTAGAACATCGTAACGGCCCTGATATTTTCTAATCTATTAGAGCAACGGCAGATAATAGCTAGATGTATACATAAGTATTTTATTTGTCTTAGCCAGACTACAGCTATAATCTTATAAAAATTAACTGGGTATAATTATTAAACAATTAGGGTGTCAATGATCCCAAAATGAAAATTAGAATATAGGGAGGGGAAGCAAGAGCATGACAGGTCTAACGCGTGTGTCATGGTATAGTGGACATATCACCAACGTCAATAGGTATCCTCTACATAAATGTAGAGGGCCCAATGAGATGTTTATCTTGTGCCATCTTGACTACACTCGAGGAACCGTCAGCTCATGGTAAAGGGGGAAAAAACAACAGAATAGAAGAAATTAACCATTTTATATAAATATAGTTATATAGCCATTAGCTAAAGTAAACAAAACGTGACCACATGGTCAAATAACCAAAAAGAAAATGGTGAATTAAAATATGCACACTGTGCGAAAATACAAAAAAAATAAAATATACCATATTTCAATTGTCAAGATGATAAATTTTACCTCAGCAGAAATGAGATTGACGACGAAGTTGTTGACTACAATGTAGTGTTATTGATTTGATATTTTCAAACATTTACCGAACAGTTTCTCAAGCCGGCTTGATGTCACATAGGAGAGGGTAGCGTTGATTTACCGTTGACAAATGTAGTATTTAGGATAAGGGAAACAGGTGGTAGGAATAATTTATTAATATACTAAATAAATATGAATGTATAAGTGTAACACTGAACCTTCAGACGTACAACGCGCACTGTTTGAGTACAATTGCCAATGACCTTAAACTCATCATGATTTTATTATGTTCCAATGTAAAATAGTTTTAAAACCTAAAATGAGTAATTCATTTTTATACAAAAATATGTGAAATAAAATGTTTTATGTGTAATGAATTATCAATATTCTATTTCCTAACAAATATGCATTTGCTTTAAGTTTCACGCTTTAATGTACAAACTTTATATGATTTTAATGAGACGTTTTAATAATTTAGAGTAAATATAATTTTTTAATTATCGTTAAAATCAGTTTTAATATAATTTTATGGTGCATGTTTTATAATATTTTATCACTATATAGACAAAAATATTTGCCTAGCAATATGTGTGTTGACAATATTCATTATTGCATTGTATGTTTTATAGCCTATACGTATCGCCGTTTTATTACTTCTTAAATTTTCACATGTAAATTTTTAAACAATAAGATTAAATAAATTTGAATAAATATCTCAAATATCTTATTTCATCAATTTGGATGTCTCTCTATAATGTTTGAAAGTTTATATAAAATAATTGTTTATTTAATTATGACTAAAATTTATTAGTTCATTTATATGGCTTTCTTGTATAATATTAAATAGCACAATCATTCTCCAAAAAATGTATAAATTATTGAAGTTCTAATACTTTTAGAAAGATAAAAAAATACTTAGATGCTGGCAAATAAAAATATTGTTGTAATCATATATAGAAAAATATTTCAAATTTTGAGTTACAAAAGGATTTAAAAGTTATCATTAAAAAAACCCAGCACAGGGGGGTCGCGGCACAGTTGTGACGTGGTATAGTTGGATCAAGTATAATAATATCTGACAGTGATTAAAATCACTATCAAAAATAAACGCTTCGATGCAAATCTTTAGATAGTGTTTAATTTAAAAAAAATTGGTGTTTTATTCCAAAAGCTACTTGATCTGCTGGTTCCTTATTAATATCTCGATAAAGATAAAGTATGTCAAATGAAAAAGGGTTTATTAAAAAATATTATTTCTCATAAAAAAATTGTGTGGATCCATAAACTTTTCAATAAGTTATAGCATTATAAAGTTAAATATAATATAAATAATAAAATCGANTTAAAGTTAAATATAATATGAATAATAAAATCGAGAATATTTCACACAAAAATAGCATTCGGTAGCCATTTTCGCCGTGAAGACAAGTCCAGAGGTCAAATTTTTTTTTTCAAATTAAAGTATATTACATTAGCTTTAATTTAAGATATATATAAAAGTGTCAGACCTTCCGGAACATTTTCAAAAGTTAAGTTGAAAAAGTTAATTTTTTGTGAAAAAGTTGTCATTTTAAATCCCCCCCTGTGGGCATTACAATTGTCAAAATTACAAAAAAAATATACCAAATAATAGGTAAAGACATCAAGCATCTATATAAAAAAAAATTATATTGATATGTTCATTTTTGAAAAAGTTAGAGCATTATTAAGTTAAAAATATAAAAAAAAATTATTTTACAAAAATCGTAATTTTTTATTAACTTTGATGTCAACTTTCACCACGAAGACAAGTCCAGAGGTCAAATTTTTTTTTTTCAAATTAAAGTATATTACATAAGCTTCAATTTAAGATATATATAAAAGTGTCAGACCTTCCGGAACATTTTCAAAAGTTAAGTTGAAAAAGTTAATTTTTTGTGAAAAAGTTGTCATTTTAAATCCCCCCCTGTGGGCAGATAAAAGGTCAAATTTACAAAAAAAATATACCAAATGATAGGTAAAGACATCAAGCATCTATATAAAAAAAAATTATATTGATATGTTCATTTTTGAAAAAGTTACGGCAGTTTTTAGTAAAAAAAATTGAAAAAATTTCGAAAATTAGCGATTTTTAAATTTGTAATTTTTTTGGAGGTTTCCCCCATTTACGGGGAACGAGGGAAATTTTTTCAATTTTGAAGGGTAATGTCTTCGACTAGATACAATTTGTGATCTTTTGACGTATCGTTGAAAGAAATCCGTTCGGTGAGAGCTGAGAAAAAGTGGTAACAGACACAAAAAAAAAAAAAAAAACACATAGTAAAACCAATACCTTCTCAGCTTCGCATCGAAGCTAAAACAAAAAATTACACAGCTCCATAACATTTAGAAGTAGAATTTTAATTCATTTTCTTTTTTTTGATTCCAATAGGTTTTTTAACGCTGGTTCTGAATGAGCCCTTAGTTTTTCTCTACCGATTATATTTCAATCATAATTTGAATATTTTTAAAATTACTATTCTTCCTTATAAAATGTTAATTAAAAAAATTAACAATATTTTTTTTCAACGCTTTTAGTTGTGTTTATTTAGAATCATAATAATATGTGAAAAATTTTAAACCATTCCGTAAAATTTCATCTTTGATATGTCCTTTTTAAGTTTAAGTTTTACAGCATTTTTAAAAAAGTTAACACTGGACTTTTTTCAACGACTTTTTTTTTTTTTTTAAATGTTTATACTGTTATTATTTGTTATATTAATACAAAATATTAAGAGGATTTTAGAAATACTTATAATAACAACTAATTTTCATAACTAAAAATAGCCGTTCAAACTTTTTCTTTGAGAATAATGTTCAAATTTTTATTCCTAATAAAAAATTACACTTACTTACTATTCTATTTAGATTATTTTCATTCTACTTTAGGAAATATAAGTGAGTCTTTAAAGTCAAATAACTCATAGAAAAAATAGTGTTGAAATGTTTTAATTTTTATATCTTGAACTACAATTAAAACTCTTTAATTTGATATTCAGAGTGGAACGGATCTAATTAACAACTCATATAACTTAATGATCTACATAACATTTTATACTTTTTTTTTTTTAATCAATATTTACAATATAGAACTATATTTAAAATATGTTTTTTATTATTTTTCGCAATTACAAAAAATATTTTAAAAATTAACTTTTTTATTAAAATTTTTTTTAAGATTTTAAGATATCTATTTTATAGATAAGTTTTTAAGAAAAAGTTTGATACCAAAAACTATTATTTTAATTCAGTAGTTAAGTGTATACAGCGTTTTGGAATTTGTTAAATTTTGATTTTTTTGACAATTTTCTTATGGTATCAAATTTTAGCCCATATTATGTAAAGTACAAAGTAAACACTTATTACATTATTTACTGGTAACAGTAAGCGATTTCATTTCCATGAATATTATTAACATTTGAATAAGCATTTGTAATTGACATGAAAAAACGATTAGTAGTATAATTCAGATTATTAAAAAAAATTGTAGAAACATTGTCTAAAACATGTTGAATTTTTAATTAAATAAGTTCATACATCATAAATTGAAATGTGAATAATAGTAAATAAAAGCATTGATTATCAAATCTCCTAACAAGGAATATCCTATAATAATATGATTACAATGATAGAATCACACTAATTAATAAATGTTATCACTTTTAACTTGGCTAACCATAGAACACTCGTAGATGACATATGATAATGTTCCTAACTTTTGTAATAAAGATTAGAGATAATCATTTCTGTATAAAGCGCGTTAAACGTTATTATTATCCATTATCAAATCATTAACTAAACAACAACTTTAATAAGCATAATTTATTTTTTATTTATTTTGAACAGAATAATTTAAATTAAAAACCTATTATCGAGTTTAAATAAAATTAACGGAGTAGCATCATCAAAAAAATATTTTCTTTATTTTGAACTGAATGATCTCATGTCACCAGAATAATCTTCATCTTCTAAAGCAATTTAACAATAAATTAATAATAAGAAAATGTTCTTTATAAAAATTATTTATTTATTTTTAAGTTTTTAAATGAAATAAAAATTAATCTAAAAAAAACTCAGTGCAGTGTATACTTAGCATAGTTGGGACAAGTTTTGATGATATCTGACAATTATTAAAAAAAATTATCACACAAAATTTGCTTAGATGCAAATTTGTAGATAGTGTTTAATTTTAATAAAAATTGATGGATTATTTCAAAAGCAACATCAACTTCTTTTTTCTTAATTACAAGCTGATAACAATTTTTAAGATTGTAATATCTTCATCTAGATAAAATTTTGACGTATGGTTGAAAAGAATCGGTTCAGTGAATGCTCAGAAAAAGTAGTGACAGACACAAAAAATAATAATATAAACATATCATGGTAAACTTAATACCTTCTCAGACTCGCATCGAAATAAAAATGTAAATTAAACATTTAAATAAAAATTAGTTATTTTTTCAGTTAAAAAATATACAATTTTTTCTAAATTATTATTCATTATAAAACAAAAATAAATGTAATTTAAATCGTACCTTCTTCATAATACTCTGATAGCATCGGGTCCTCGACATACAATTCCATATTTTCCATTATTTCGTCTTAAACAAATTAACATAAAAAATACTAATTAACTATATTTTTTTAAAAATGAATTGTGCTGTGGATCAATTTCGTGCTTGGGAATGGGTTAAGCACACTGGCCTCCAAGACTCAGAATTAAAAAAATGGTTTAATTCTAATTTTTAAATAATTTCTACTGGCAAATTCAACGTTGGAAACAGAATTTGTCTATTGATTTAGTAATTATCAAAGTACCATTAGTTAACTAAAGAATAGTGTTTTGGTGAAATCTATTATTATAAAGAAAATATCCAATTAACCTAATCAAAATATTACCTTCTACAGTAAATATATACCTGTGAAATCATCTTTAAAATTGTAGATAGTCTCCATGTTTTTGTTGTACTCAAAACCTAACTCTGTGTATTTCTTTGTAATAGTTGCCTCAATTTTATCATTTATCTTTTTACTTATATATTTATAAAATTCTTCAGTATCAATTAAACATTTTGTATACCATTTACTCCACAATTCATTCAAATTTTCGGTTTCCTGATCACAGTATTTCTTAATATCATCATTTACATAGTTACCTATTTTAATAAAAAAAAATTCCGAAGTCTTCAATATCGACATTGTTCGTTTTGAGTTAATTAGTGAAGGTGGACAGTCTTTTATTCGGTCATTGATAAATGGATAAAAATTGAATGCATTATTTAAAATGTAATTGTCATTTACCGACTTTTTAAACAACGGTACAGTATGATAATTATCAACAAGTTCTAATGCTCCTTTTAATTTTGATATCATATCAACTGTTGCTTTAGCACAAGTTGTCATTTCTAAAGTACAGTTGTACATTTTATCATCGTTTTCAGAGTCAATAGTTTGGCAGTATTTGGACAATTGTATTAACATATAAAGAATGTACTTCATTACATTAGAATATAAACAACCAAGAAATAATGTTATTAGACGTGCTTTTTTATACAAATAATTATAGCTACAAGGTATTTTTAATATGTCCAAGATAGTATAATTTGAACCAACATATTTAATTGTTTTCACATCACATACATTTGTATAACGTAATCGTGTAACAATATTTTGTAAAACTTTTTTTTTTGTAGGACACTTATTGATTGCATAACATAAATTGAATAAAATAATAAACAAGAATACTTTATTTATTTTATAAATCATAATTTTTCAGAAAAAATTAAAATTAAAATTTTATTAATTTTTCATCATTAGGAAAGAATGATATTAAAACTTTAAATTTATAGATAAAAAAGATTATTTTTTTACATATTACATTAAAATTTTTGTTACTTTTAAATAAATCAATTTAAAAATAATTTTTTTGCAATTATTTCACTGCGCCATACGTTATTATGATTTTAATATCAATAAACATTATTCAATCAAAGGATATACAGGGTGTTCAGTAAATAAGGAAACGAATTTCTATTGTACTCATTGTTTGTAACAATTTAACTGTTTCCTAACTTACTGAACACCCTGTATATTTAATTTAAACTTTTTGGTTTGAATTTTATAATTTATTATAGTTAAATTTCCTTTTTTCAATTTTAAACTTAAAATTATTAGATAATTTTTCCTTATAAAAATTTCAATAAAAATATATATATAAATATAATATTATAACGTTTTATTATTAAATTAAAACAATATAGAAATTATATTATTATTATATTATTTTTCTTTTTGATAGCCTTTATGAAAATTAAAAATCAGCTATAAAAAATCAATTTTATTTAATTTTTTCTTATTATCCTTTTTTGCATATACATTGGCATATGGATGACTAAGTAAAGGAATTAGAAGCTACGACTTCGACATTAGATATATTTGCATATTTTGTAACATCAGAAAAGGTAAATACTTCAACAACTTAACTGGGACGTTTGGTCGAGCACACTTCAGAAAACGAGACATTGTTTGTTGTCATTATATTTTTAATGTCCTTTTGCACAGACCGCTCGCTGCAAGATCAATTGATAGCAGAGTAGTTAAATTCACAAAATATGCATGAAAAAGGGGAGTGGTGGACTTGACGTTGCAATTAGATTCAGTGTGGTCAAATAGGATACAATAGGAAACTGATATAAAATTAAATAGTGTACAATTATTCGATTGCAAAATATAAAATCAAGAACACGTCATTTTTTGTTATGTGACTTATTTACACAGTTGAGAACTAATCATATAAATAAACTATAGCTTTTAATAGCGTCTTGCGATATTACCATATTTTCTAAAATAATTTTACATAAATCATGAATTATTATTAATATAAATTACTATTACTAAAAATTATTAATACAAAAATAATTTAAATATTATAGCATTGTTATTTTGTAAATGCTAAATAAAGTTTTATTTGTATAATTAGTAAGATGTTTAGAACGTTCTATATTTAAGTAAAGCGAACATGCACAAATGAAATATCAACATGTACTAATGTCTTTAATAGTTAATACGAGTACCAAACGTAAAACGATTAAAACTGTTTTGATTATAACTAGGAAAGTGAGATGATACTTTTGTCTGTAAAAGATAAAAAAACCCAGCACAGTAGTGACGTGCATAGTTGGATCAAGTATAATAATATCTGACAGCGATTAAAATCACTAAAAAAAAAAAAAACGCTTCGATGCAAATCTTTAGACAGTGTTTAATTTTAAAAAATTGGTGGATTATTCCAAAAGCTACATGATCTGCTGGTTCCTTATTAATATCTCGATTAAGATAAAGTATGTCGAATGAAAAAGGGTTTATTAAAAAATATTATTTCTCATAAAAAAATTATGTTGATCCATACACTTTTCAATAAGTTATAGTATTATAATGTTAAAAATGTAAAAAATAAAATCGAGAATTTTCACACAAAAATAGCATTCAGTAGCCATTTTTATCGTGAAGATATAATAAAGTCCGAAATTTATTTTTCTATAATAAAGTACATTACATTAGCTTTAAATTAAGATATATATAAAAGTGTCAGACTGTCCGGAACACTTTCAAAATTTAAGTTGAAAAAATTAATTTTTTGTGAATAGGTTGTCATTTTAAATCTCTCCCTGTGGGCAGGTCAAGGGTCAAATTTATAAAAAAAATATATCAAATAATAGGTAAAGACATCAAGCATCTATAAAAAAAAAATTATATTGATTTGTTTTAATGTCTTCGACTAGATACGATTTGTGATCTTTTGACGTATTGTTGAAAGAAATTGGTTCAGTGAGAGCTGAGAAAAAGTGGTAACAGACACACACACAAAAAAAAATAAAAACATCATAGTAAAATTAATAATACCTTCTCAGTTTCGTATCAAAGCTAAAAGTGATATTTAGTAGTTTTAAAATTCAAATAAGATAAATTTTAGCTTCGATGCAAAGCTGAGAAGGTATTGGTTTTACTAAGATGTGTTTATTTTTTTTTTTTTGTGTCTGTTACCACTTTTTCTCAGCTCTCACCGAACGGATTTCTTTCAACAATATGTCATAAGATCACAAATCGTATCGATTCGAAGACATTACTCTCAAAAATTGAAAAAATTTCCCTCGTTCCCCGTAAATGGGGGAAACCTTCAAAAAAATTACAAATTTAAAAATCGCTAATTTTCGAAATTTTTTCAATTTTTTTTACTAAAAACTGCCGTAACTTTTTCAAAAATGAACATATCAATATAATTTTTTTTTTTATAGATGCTTGATGCCTTTACCTATCATTTGGTTTATTTTTTTTTGTAAATATGACACTTAACCTGCCTACAGAGGGGGATTTAAAATTACAAATTTTTCACAAAAAATTTACTTTTTCAACTTAAATTTTGAAAATATTCCGGAAGGTCTGACACTTTTATATATATCTTAAATCAAAAATTTAAAAAAAAAATTTTACCTCTGGACTTGTCTTCGTGGTGAAAAAGGCTACCGAATCCTATTTTTGTGTCGAATGCTATAACTTTTTTAAAAATGTATGGATCAATACAATTTTTTCATGAAAAGTAGTATTTATATACATCTTTCATTCGACATACTTTTTTTTTTAATCAGACTATTTCCCTATATACGGGGGAGGGGGCTTCAAATATAAAAAATTCATATAGAAAGTAGAACATTTTCAACTTAACTTTTGAAAGTGTTCCGGATATATCTTAAACGGAAGTTAATGTAATATACTTTATTATGAAAAAAAAAATTCGAACTTTATTTTGTCTACACAGTGAAAATGGCTACCAAATGCTATTTTTGTGTGAAAATTCTCGATTTTATTTTTTACATTTATAACTATATAATGCTATAACTTATTGAAAAGTGTATGGATCAACACAATTTTTTTTTGAGAAATAATATTTTTTAATAATCCACCAATTTTTTAAAATTAAACACTATCTAAAGATTTGCATCGAAGCGTTTTTTTTTATAGTGATTTTAATCACTGTCAGATATCATTATACTTGATCCAACTATGCCACGTCACCACTGTGCCACGACCCCCCTGTGATGGGTTGGTTTTTTAAATAAACCAATGAAAATATTCACATTATTAGGGTATTTGGCTAAAGTATACATATTTAAGTTACTTTAACTCAGTACAGTTGAATATAAAATTAATTTCAAGAGAAGAAATTAAAACTTGAGATAACCTAACAGAATTTGACATATAAAAAAATATTTGATAAAATCTTCTTTATCCAGGTATTCCCATATTGATTTTGTCAATTTAATTCGTAAAATAACGTCAAATACAAAATAAATTATTTATTTGTGTTTAAGATTTTGTTTATGAGCATTTTTCACAAGTTATTAGACATGTTATCAATATGTGTAAAATAAATCATCTATAAATTCCGTGCGATGTTTTACAACGCACTCTCACCGTAAGTTTCAGCGTCGTGAGTTAATAATAGTAATTATATTCGTACACAAATTTAGATTTTATCTATAACACTTTATTAACACCTTGCTCCCAGCTATTAGGAATAATCGTTAACTTTATGCTAAATGTAATCGAGGCGGTTCATTTGTTGTAAGTTATTCTAACAAATTTTCATTGCACATCAATTTTTCGATTTTAATTATTACTTGACAATATCTAATTCTATAACATTTATATTAGTACATTAGAAAAAAGAAATGATATCACGATCTTATTTTAGTTCACCTAAAAAAAAAATATAAATATAATAACAGTGTCTAGTCAGTTACTAATAGTTGAATTTTCTAAGCGATCGGTGTTAGGAATAGATAACTAAATATCCATCTAGATTAGTATAAATATTCGAATTAAAATTCATCTCGATGAGATACAGATATTTGGGGAAAATTTTATTGAGAATACAAAATAAAAAAATTTATCTTAAATCTATATAAAATGCAGACAAACTCCTGTTTTCATTTATTAATCATTTTTTAACGGGTTTCCTCTCTCCATTTCATGCTAAAAGTGATTTTTTTTTATTGTCAACCAAATAGAGAAAATTTTCTCTTGGAAATGCTCTACTAAATCACTTTTAATCTTTGCTATTAATAGAAACAAGACAAGCAAAATAATAGATCAATTAACAAATTAATAAATGATACATACTATTTGTTAAAGTTACATAAAAAATGTTAACCTTTTTATCTACAATATAATTTATTAATAGTACGTTTAATTTTTTTTTTTTTTTTTTAAATAATGATTTTTCGTTTAAAATGTACTAATTAACATTACTTAGATTTATAAACCATAGTATATATCAAGTGTATTGTAAGATATAATTATTTCTTATAATAAATCAAATTTATATATGTACGTTTTAATCAAAAAATTAATATTTAATGAAAAAATGAGTTGTATTTCTAATAAATCGCACATGATGGATATTCACTAGCTATACACACTGGCTCTATATGCATTAACTATAAGCACTAGCAATAGTTACAACATAATATGGGGTGATTATGAAATGGGACTTAATTGTTAAATAGTTATTAGTTTCAAAATTATAATAAAAAAAATTACATATAAAATCAAAGTTATGTCATTTTACGGTACGCTATTTGCTAAAAGCTTAATAGACTAATAGCAATAATGAAATTTTAAAAATATAATAATAGTATTTAGTCAGTTACAAATAGTTATATTTTAAGTATACATTTATAACATGCACAAAAAAATATTAAAATAATGATAAACTCGCAATTTTAACAACGCCCATATGAATATAAATGTTAAAGATTAAGTTTACCCACTATGGTAACGATTGTAGTCAAAACTTCAATCCACTTTTTATGAATTTTAATTCAGGTTTATATAAAGTATCTAATTCTCTAATCATTTGTTTATATTATTCGCTGACTCTCTTATTTTTACGATTTCTGTTAATGGCGACTTAAATGATATGGTAATAATAAAATATTCAAGATTTTACCACAACACATAAAATATAAATAGGTGCTCTATTAATATTTTTTCGTATACATTGATTTGATTTTAATTAATATTATAAATAGACAAAAAAGAATTTTACGTTTTAAAAATACAGTTTTTTAAACAAAATATTTTAATAAGTGCAGTTAGAACAAAATGTTTGGAAAATCATATAAAACTTATTTTCTCTCCTCCTTAAAAATAATACAGTAGAAAAATACAAGCAATATTCATAATTTTCGAGAATCAGAATAGATATAGACTTCCTCATATTGAACCTATAATTATTTCCATAAATAAAATAAAAAAGTAATTTTTCACTAGTATGTACTTCAATTATCTTAAAATGACAAAAAATGCAAAATAATAGTGTCATTTTTGAATTCTTAATTACATAAATCGAGTTTAGTACTCGGAAATATCTAAAATAACCCTAAAAAATGCGATAAGCATTGAAATATGGACTATATTTATCAGTGTCTAGTATTCATTTGATATCATTTTATGGTCATTGTATTATTTTATTGTTAAATTTTTGTAAATTTTCATTGAATGATCAATATTAAAAGAATTCTTAATTTTATTAGAACTATCCAAAATAAGACGCATTTTTAACCAAAAAAAAATTAAATATTATTCTAAAAATGAGTACAAATAATATATACTCCACATATTTAGTAATGTATACTCTTCAGTAAATAGTACTGTACTATATACAGACTTGATGTTTTTTCATAAGGATTTTTCAATAAATAAATTCTTCAAAGTTTTAATATTGATTTATAGCTGAGAATATTATGAAGATAACTATAAAAATTTTTTTAACAAATTTCAAATACATTATATACACTACATATAAATATTTAAAAAATTGAAACATTAATAATTTCCATTGATTTAATTATAAATCATTTAACTCTTAATTCTACAACCAGTAGAATTTATTCTAAGATTTAAAGACTAAAATTAATTTATTTTTAGTGAAGATTAATATATTTAGATATCTCTTTTCCGAGGATTTTCACTTAGATTTTTGTTAATATCTACATATCATATATTTTGTATAATTTTTTATTATCAATTTAATACCTTATACTAGAATAATCGGTTTCAAAAATAACTTTAATGAGCATGATAAATAAAATTAATGAGTACGGACGCATTAGCTACGAGTGAAACGCGACGATTGAAGAGCACGTGGCCACAAAACGGGCGGCGAGACACGTGATCGGAAAATAAAACGACCAATCACGACCGCTCATTGGGCGGCGACCAATGGACGGAACACCGGTTGCCGGGTTTCTAGGACCGGGGCGGGGGTCGAGGCGGCGGCCGTTGAGTGTGCGGGTGGAAGCGAAGAAGACATCAGCAGTCTTAAACGCGCCAACGTACCGGATCACGTGCGATCGCGTTCCACGCATTAAAGTCTCCGTATGAATTTCATAAGAAAAATATTTGGACGCATAGATTTCTCTCCGAGATATTTTCAACCGTTTAGTTTCGCAGCAGTTCATCTGGCCCGCGTGACATTTATCAAGAAATGTCAAACGGCCATTACAAGTGAAGTTGTGCGCATCGGAATCCGCGTTTATTGACAAACATTAAATTACCTGTCAGCAAAATCTCATAAGAATCAAGGAAAATAATATGGATTTCCAAGCGAACGCTTCAAACATGTTTACCAGGTAATATATTTTAAGACTTATGAAATTTTCAGAAAACAAAAATTACTATAAAAAAGTAAAAAACGGAGTTTTTTATCATTTGTATACGAATATTGTCGTTATTTAAGAAATATCTTTCTCTTTTCTCATCAAATGACTTTATTATACAAAATAAATCCGAAATTTAAAAAAAAATTATGAATTACTATTCTACAGTTAAATGTATTTCAAAGTTTGTATCAGTTAACAATATATACGCTGATAATAAAATTAGAAGACATATTTTTTATAAGCAATATCAATGAAATATATTTAAAAAATACAAATCTTTTTCTATTTTTATTTAACAATTTTTTTTTTTTTAAATATTTGTAGTTGAGTAAAATTTAATTATTCGCGTGTACGAGATTCATCCAATAACTAAATTGTTAACCACTTTTACTTATTTTACTATAAACTATAGTAACCATTGATACAAATGAAGTAGAAACAAAATTTTATTTATCCGACTATGGCACGAGCTCAGGTCTACTAATTTCAAAAAAATTAATAATTTTGTACAATATAAAATCTATTACAATACTTAAAACAAATAATTTCACTTTATATTAATTCTAAAAATATTCCAGTTAAATATATTTAAAATTTGAGTGCATGGACAGTTCTAACACACTTCTTTAACAACTTAAACTAAACCAGACATATAAAAATCTATTTGAATTTTTTAAAGCCAAATTAAAATTAAAATTAAAATAATAAGGGCTTTATTTTGAAAATTTAAATAAAAAATATTTATATTTTGAAACAAATATAATCGCGTAAAAGATTAAATACCAAAACATTACTTTACCAAGAATATTTTTTTTAAATAATATAAGATTATAAAAAAAAAATGACTTTAAAAATTATAATCCAAATCATTATGTTTATAAGAAGATTAAAATGATTTCAATCATGACGTGTAACTTTCTGATTTATTTTTATTAATTTCATGCATTATTTTTATAAAAAAAACATGTTTAGGTTATTACTCAATTTCTTTGAGTGTAAAGAGTATCTTATAAACTCAAAGGTGGTCATCTGTTGAAACTATAACGAGTAAAGACATTCAATACATCAAACTTATTCCGGTCATTTAATTGTCTACACAAAGTAGTAAAATATTCGAAAACATGGTAAATTTATAATAGACGAATTAGGTGTAACCCAATCGCCCGAGAGAAACAATATAATAATATAGAATGATTCGATGTTATCGACTCGTGTTTATGGCGGCGATCAGAAAAATATGAGATCTAGTAGACAAGAAGTAACAATCGCCTAAATGTTCTAACTAACGTATATCGAAATAATTGATGGAGAAAAATTCCGATTCGAGCGTCTCCGCATACTTCATTTCTCGCCGATAGCTGATCAATTGATTCAGAGATATTTTATAGGTCTAACAGACCGCATTGTGATTTTAAACAAGGACTATGCATGTTTGATTACAAGTCACATGGGTTCATGAATGTTTCCACCGGCCGTTTAAGTCTCTGAAGCGGCGGCGATCTTGGCGAATTTTCGCTATCAAAGTTAGTGTATCATCACTATTGCTAAATAATAGTGCGTCCGTATATCAGAGAGACGGTGCATCAGAACTTAACAAAAATGTATCGTCAATAATCTATTGCAGTAGTTTTTTAGTAGAGTACGTCGGTATCGTAATAGTACATGGAACGCGCCGTCTCTGGAGGAGATGATCGCGAGGGGTCTCGTAGATGTAATGAGAAATGAAAATCGAAACCGGATCATATCATATTATAGACTTGTGGTGACGGTGCGGTGTAGATACCGTGATTGATTTTGGCCAAGCGAACGACGTGACGTGCGTACATCTGTCCATAGCAATCCAAGGGCATGAGTTGCTATCATGGATCCATCTGTGTGTTATGATCATCGGTCATCGCTTAATAATATTATTATAATCATGAATCGTCCGATTAGCCAGTCCGTTAAGTTTTGTTAACCATGAGGTACGAACAAATAATATCGATCCCGATGTTTATAATTATTTTAATATAAAAAAATCGCAACAGCGCATAATAACATAATATAGTATCGATCACAGCAGATTATACGGTTTACCGCAAAAAATCTCGAGGAATAAGTTTTTTTATTAGATTGATCACTGTAATCGGTTTTTTCAATACGTTTGCTCAAATAAACCATCAATAGGAATTTATAGTAATAATAATCATAAAACATTATATATTTTTCTGTAAATGCATACATTCCAACGATATCGAAATATCTATACAAGCCCATAAACACCGACACACCAATGGCTAATCGAATAAAACCACACCCCTCGTTTATCAGTACGATAATTTCAATAAAACGGTAAAAAAAAAAAAAATTGCTTGTTGTGTGTTTTAAATCGGACTACGAAGAATTATGCAGTCTCTTTCACTCCTTTTGTCTTATTTCGTCACTATTACGATCGTACCAACGCACAGACTAAATAAGAGTAAGGTCACTAAAAAGTCATCGTTTTATCATGATAATAGCCGTTATGGTCGATTACACGTACTACGTTCACTGTAACTGCCTTTCAAAGTTCTCTTATAATTTTAGTAAATTATCATATCTGCGATATGGACAAGCCATTAAAACTCGTTGAGATTGGGGTACCCCGCAGAAGCTAATATATCAGCGACCGTATTCGCAGAAATTATGTCTGAAGTATAAAGATGTTGTGAAATCATTTAATATAGTATCTGTCAAAACCATTTCAATCAACAGTCGCTTTGATTAAAATAAAAGAATAAATACAGAGAGCGTACGCATTGAAAACCATTCCACAACAAGCCGAGTGTATATTTACATGTGATCTGCATGAGGGTAATAGTTTTCTTACATAGTAATGTACGTGAAACAAATAGACAAGGAAAAATAATATTTTTACAGATTCAACGTGTGATTTTCTTTGCAGACCAAGGGCGAACGATAAATACCGAGGCTGCTACATGTGCATAAAAAATAAATTGCACGATTGGTGCTCAATATATTCTCCGTAAATAACCTTCGTTTCGTAATGTCCTCAAAAGGATCGTAACGATTATTTATTCAAATTGCCGAGCAAAATCATATCAACTAATCGAATTTTTTCATTTTAACATGTTTCATTTGTTGAGGGGGGGAAATTGGCAAAAATTTAGAATCACTACTTAAAACTGTATAACTGTTTATGTTAAGCTACATTAAAGAGTAACTTAACAACAAAGAGTAAATATCGTTTATATACTTATTAAATGATTCTAGAAAAACTCAATTACATACTATTTTCACAAAAATTAATAAAAGTCGTTATCAACATATATAATAAATCAAGTCAATTTGTAAAAAGTGTGTTTAATTCACTATTTTTTAATCCAAAATTGTGTATGCTCATTCATTAATGTTACAATTTAAGCATGAGTATTGATTAGGTAATGTTTTACGCCTTTTTGAACAACTGGAGTTTTAATGTGCAAATAATAATTTACCATCGACTTAAAAACTAATAAAACTCAAACGCACTCACTTAGAATAACAAGTTAAATATATTTTAAAAAAACCAGATGAATTAATAATTTTTTTAATACAATAAAACTCGACTTCATTCATTATCTAAAATTATTCAAAATAAATCTTCACGAATCATACCTTACTAGCGTTTAAAAATCAATATTCCATCACAAAAATAGAAGAAAAAAAATAATTGACTCTTGTTTAACAGTTTTGAATTAATGAGGTAGTGACTGGATTAAAGCCTATTTTCTATCAGTAATGTTTCAAAATTCGTTGCTTGCATAAATTATTTGTATTCATTGCCCATTAAAACGGAACTTAACTGTAACTATATACTTACTGACAACCCTAAGTACATAATATATAAAGTCAAACTCTACAAACACTTGTAAATAATTGCGATTGCATTTCATTCTAAAGTAAAGAAGAAACAACACAGGTAATCTTTTTCTTTTTTTTGTCACTTAACATTTAAACTAAGACAGATCGTGCACGTCTGGCGGGTCCGACCCAAATATTTTTTATCCTCGCCGCCCGCGATGATAACGCACTTCTGCGGTGTACTTTATCATAAAGTGAACACATGTAGGCGACACGTGAGACCTCCGAAAGGGTAATATGCCTATGAAAAACGGGTGCTCATAAATATCACAGGAAAAATAATAAGAGAGACTCGTTGCGGTCGCGACACTATAACGTGTCAAAATAATACACGTCGGAATTCTGTTAGACAAAAGCCGCACAGAAATGTTAATGCAACACACTCACAAACGCTGAAACTAGTCAGATGGTATTCATCTTCTGTTATAAACGAGTCAGCAGGTTGAAGGGTTTATGTAAAAAAAAAAAAATGGGCGAAATTCCAGCCCAAGTCAGTGGACGAACTCGATGATCGCTTCCTATTTAAAAACGAGCGACCGAATGAACGGCTATTATACGCTTATAATGCCGCGGAATCTTTAATTTTTTAATAGAGTTGTATAATCCGGTACGGTGATCTCAAAAATTATATTAATCACAGTGTAATGGCCGCTGGTACAGATGGAAATTCTTGCGGCTGCGGTCGTGCGCGAACATTATCCGGAGCAATAAAAGTTGCATTAAAAATCCACGTCGCGTTTCGTCTACAGTTGGTTAACCGCCGTGCCGATGGATAATAATGAAGAGAATAATAAAATCATATTTTTGAAGGAAAAAACGCGCACAAAGAAAGTAAAATCGCGTTTTAACACTGCGCTTGTGTATTATTATGAAGATGAAGACGTATAACTACGGCGTTATTTATTGTTGTCGGACGTGAAAACCTTTTGGCGGTGGAGAAAAAAAAAATATGTTTTATTATATAAAAACCATGCCGTTGAAAATGACTTTATAATCTACCTAATGGTTTTATATAGCCGAGTATGTACTGTAGGCCGTGTGTTATTCACAGCGCATCGTGTGAACAGTAAACATAGTACTGCCGTTGC